TATATATATATATATATATATATATATATATATATATATATATATATATAATTTCCTCTAATAAATTAGATTTACTTTTCCTATTTTCAGGGAAACACCTGTGACACTAAACTCCACAAGTCCATAACTAATGGATACAAAATATTTTTATTTATTTATTTTCGGTAATTTATGGCACTTGATACTTTAAATAATATAAAAATTTTAAACTTTAAACATATGAATATTTTTTTATTTTCTTGGTAAACAAGTGGCCAAATTACTTGAACCACACACACAAGAAATTGACCAGCCACGTTATCTTTGTTTCTGGGTCCCACTGCCACCGTGGCATACCATCTGACCTGGCACTCACTTTTTATAATTTTGACTTATCTTATCACCAATCATACATACCCAATCAACACACAAACTTATCAAAACATTCCATAAATACCCTTAGACTAAAGTCGTTTGGCACGCGGAATAAGATCAAATAATTATGGTTTTAGATCATAAATTTATCAATGTCAAAAAATAATTTAGTCCATGAATCAAATGATGTCATTTGATACGAAATAAGCTGAGATATTCTAGAGCTGAGTTTGTGATTAGATTTATATTTTTTTTTGAACATCTCGTTTTATTTCTAATCTTTTTAGTTCAATGATTATAATTTCGAAATAATTTAATGCGCGTATGAAACGATATGTAAATGACATTTTTGCCCTTATTGTCTGAACCTTGAAGCAGACGATAATTTCTTTTTTTAAAAAAGTTCAGAAATAAGCTGTGTTTTATTTAGACTCTGCTTCTGATTTGGTGATTGAATTCTTGAAGGAAACTATCACAAAGCTTCGTATGTAAAAAAATAATCTCTTTTTTTTCTTTTCTTCAATAATATCGTCAGATTTGGAAAAATAAACAACCCCTTTTGAACTAGAATTGCTCTGATTTACTAAATTTTGAGTTTTCAAGGTATATATATTATGAATTCTGTTTTTTTTTGTTATCTGCAACTGAAATTTTTGGATCAATTTTTGTGAAGTTTGATAGAGAAGGGGAATTTTAAGGTTATTTATGAGATACCCATATTGAAAATCTGAAAAAGATGATTTCTTTTTATGTTTAGATTCATAAAGATTTGATTTTTTTTGTTTATTTATGAAGATTTTTAGCTAATTGTAAAGCTATGTTTGTACTGAGTTTCTGAAAAAGTTGCTTTCTTTGGATGATTTTCTTTTTTGTATTGATGAAGAGCTTTGTAGAGCTAATTTGCAAAGACATGTTTTGTTTTTTTTCTTCTTTCTTGAGAATTAGTACTGGGATTCTTGATTTTCTGGTTATCCTTTTTGTTTTTTGTTTTTTTTGGGTGCTTGCTTTGTGTTTGGTGGTTTCTTGTTTGACTGGTTGAAGTTGAAATTTGAGTCTTATTTTGTGGAATACCTTGTTGTATAGTTACTGGAAATTGAGCTAAATTCTGTTGAATTACAATAAAAAGTTAAGCTAATTGTTAGGCTCAACATATTAGGTGTTAATTTTCTACCATGACTATTTCTAGGGAGTGGTAATATTATTGTCTAGCAGTTTCTTTTAAGACTTCTCTATAAGCTGAACATTGGTTTATTGCTATGGGAACCTAGAAAAGGAAAGGAGGAAAAAAGGGAAGAACTTGAATTTCTTGAAGTATTTTTAGGTAAAATGTCATAAAGATGACCACATTATGGGTCACAATGAATGGAAGAAGATCTCAGTTTATTTATGTTCTGTGATTTTGTTATTATTTTTGATTAAAGGTGCTTGCACACTCTAGGTTCTTGATGTACTGAAAAGTTGAAAATTGAAGAACTTAATTAAAAAAACTTGCTTGGCTAAGGTTAGGTGGTATGTCTCGCTTATCCTTCTATATTAGTAGTCATAGAATTTTTTCCTGTATTTTCTGTTACTAAACTACGGTCTTTTGTACTTCGATTATTGCACTATTTTGTTGTAGTTATTGTTCATTTTTCAGCATGCTTTGCCATGCTTTTTACAGTATTTTGCCATGATTTCTCCACTTCCAAGTTTTTGACCTGCTTTGATATGCTTTACCTTGAGCAGATGTAAGGTCTGCCTACCCTTTACCCTCCCCACCCTACTTGTGGGACTACACTGAGTATTTTGTTGTTGTTGGGCTAAGCATAACATGCTGTCTTAATAGTGTTTGTATCATTTGATTGTATTAATTCTTCTTTCTATCTGGATTCTTTTGTACAGGAACTAATAACTCTTACAGCACATTCAATTGTCATTAGGCTTCGAAATCCAAGATTCATTGTATCCGCCAACATTTTTGTTCATAACTCAATCCCGGATTTTGATTCTATAAAGGGCAAGTAATTTACTTGATTTACTAAGACATGGCTTTGGCCTTTAACCCTTTATCATGGTGGCTTTGGAGTGGAAAGCATCAAGAACCTAAAATATCGAAAGGGACTTCTGTAAATTCATCACCTGATTCGAGTTTGTTGGAATTGGATACTTTGAAGTTCACTCTTGATAGGAGAAGGAATATGGCCTCCTCATCTAGAAAGGTTAAGCGAAAATGGGAGAGTCGTGAGGAGCGGAAGGTTGATAGGGAGTATGATATTGTTCTTGTTCCATCGGATGGCGGATGTGTTTCAGGTTCTGAGTCAGATGATTCGGATTGGTCTGTTGGATGGTTGGAGCCTCATGGCCCTGGTTTCCAGAGTGATGATGATAGAGATGATAGTTTTGCTGTACTAGTTCCTTGCTATGGACGTGGGCGCGCGGATTTGGAAGATAATGCTCAAGACAAGTTCATGCAGACCATTGGTAATTTCAGGGATATACATGCTTCTGGTAAGAGTCAATTTCTTGAACAATTATCCTTTTATATAATGATGAAAACCAAATTTATTTGAAATATATCGAACTCCTTATATATGGGTAGTCTTGGAACAAGAGTAGAGTTGTCTACGTGGCCAATAGGTCATTGGTTTGAGCCGGCTTGGAGTGAAACCCTTCCCCCGATCCCATGCAAATGCTGGATGCTTCCAACTGCCCTTTTTATATCAAACTCCTTATAGTAAGGTCTCTCAGTTGATTATGTCATGCTGGTTGCAAATGGCTATTAAGTAGCAATTCAATGAGAACTATGCAAATTGATGTTGAAACAAACTTAATGCTTGTGGAAATTACCTGATCTACAAATGGACTAGTACCTTTTGAAAGGTTCTTCAACTTTCCCTGCTATAACTACAATTTATCGCACAAGCAGGGACTTGAACACAAAGTCTTGTTTCATAATCAGAATTTGTTGAATTGAGCCTTCCTGCTTTTCAATTAGTTCCTTTTTGTTAATGTGCTGAAACTATACTAAAAGATCTTATGCAAGCTTAGAATGTTATGATTACCAAATGTTCCTCTCATTCAATTTTGTGACTAAATTAGGATGATTTTATTGGCCTTGTTGATCAAATGTTTTTAGGTTCTCTAATCTAGAGAATTAGAACGTGTTCAATATACTTTTCTCCCCTTGTCTTTTACAGAGGGGAGGGCAATGGTTGGCAATGATTAGTAACTAGTAATCTTAAGCCATGACTGCAGCACTGAATTATCATCCAGAATGAATTTCTCATTGACGTATGTAAAGAGCATCTCCTACATGATAAATGGCTGTTGCCTAGAAATCTTTTTTGCGGAATAACTTGTTGTCAATTAGTGTAACTCATATGTAGCAACATATCATGTCCTGGTTTCTACACAACTTAGATCTTGTCCCTTTTTATTTCCCTCTCGAAAATAATAGTTAGTTCTTGTCCTTTTGTCACACACAACTTGATCAGTTGAGAAGTATTTAGCACCATATCAGTTGGTAGCTGTTCTTAATTCAGATTTCTTGTTTGGAGTTGAATTTATGAGTTTGTTAACAAGCCAGTAATAGGTTAGCGCGGGTTCTGTTTACTCATTGAGATATACGTATTTTAACTTTCTTGTCATCGAGAGACTTCTCATTTTTATGCAACATCACTCTTGGCCATTACATATCCGTAAAATCTGAAATCTCTTTTCTCCTAAAATGTACCCTTTCTTTTGGAAACATTACGACTACAACCCTTTTGTTCCCATCCAATACTAAACAAGTTTATGTTTATAATTTTTGAACGATGCATTGATTTAGATAGAGTATAAACCAAAAAGAAATGTGTTTACTGTTGAATAACAGTACTCTTTCCATCACTCTAGTTCTTAACTTTCTGTTCTGTACTTTGTGCTTATCGAATTTGAATTTTACGTGCAGGGAATGAGAAGTTTATGGAACAGTGGCTCTCATCTTTGCGGTATAGCTGACATACTGCAGTGGCTCAGTTGATTTGATATCTTTTCTCCAGATTCTTTGTTGCTTAGTGGATCAAACACTAAGCTGTTTTTTGTTAACTATTACAAGCCTAAATATGGACTGAGGAGTAAACTGAAAGTTAAACTGTAAAAAAATAAAAAATCGTCTATGGACACTCCCAGTACCTTGTGTCTTATGTTTTTCAGAATTATTTGAAGTAACCTCGACTTTGTCTCTTGATAATTGGTGTAAATTTGTCATTCGAACTGTGTCTGGAGGAAGGAGAAGTGAAGAATGATGGTTATAGAAGGAAAATTAAGAAAAAGAAAAAAGAGTGAAAGCTAAAAAGCAATGGTGTTGTGATTATGCTTGTAGTATTCTTTGGATGTAAATATCTGTGAATAGTTTCATCAGTTGTAAATGTGTTTTCTGGGAAAATGATTGGTTACTTATGATGCTATAAGTATCATTTCATTGTGAATATGCAGTTTCATCTACTTGTACTGAAAATATTTGGGAAGTTCAAATGTTATTCGTAAGAATAAATGTCTCTGTTGTTCAGAATGTGTTGCTATGCTTTTACTTTCATTACTGCTTTTTCTAGACTGTTTTTCCTTGAACCAAGGGTCTATCAGAACCCTCTCTACCTCTGTGGTAAGGATAAGGTCTGCATACATTCCACCATTTCCAAATCCCATTTTGTGATGCTACATTGCTGTTGCAGTTGCCCCCGGGGATTTGGTTCAGTGATACAGACACATGTAACGAGTTTGAACCCTGTCACTGACTAAAGCCTAGTATTTAAGTGGAGAGTGAAGGGGTAAAGGACATGCTCACACAGTCAATACACTCTCGAGTTTTGAACTTGTAAGTAAAATTGGACTTACTGTTTAAGGGGTTCAAAGGTTTGATATCATGAGTTTGAATTCTAGTCCTTTAGTTAGTTCTTTTGAAGGAATTGTTCTCAAATGTGTTCATTTCAGAAGCCAAGGAAGTCAACAATCATATCAGGCGGGTCTAGGAAGGTAGGATGTATGCAAAACCTTACCCTCACCTTTGTATGGTAGATAGGTTGTTTTCGATAGACCCAAAGAAAAAAAGAATTTGAAGCACGTATGTCAAAAGAAGTCAAATGCGACTTCAAATTCAAGGCTTAAATCCAAGACTTCTAATTAAGAATGGACGAGGTTTAAAAGGTAAAAAAGAACTTTTAATTCCTTCCTCTCACACATAGTCTAACTAGTCTATCCTCAACACTCTTGGACTAAATATGACCATTTTTGTAGGTTATCCAAGGCAACAGAGAAAAGACAAAATTAGTTAGTGAAGTAGTCTCTTTAACCCACTTGCAAAGAGATCTCAAGATTACACATGGAAATATTCAACAATTGACATGGAGGTATCAAAGAATTGTAATTTGTCACCTAATAATTATAAACAATACATAGCAAGAAACCTACACATTTACAATAAAAAGGGGAAAGAAAAAGAAGCAAAACCACCAAGGGTAGATGACAAGAACACTCCCATGAATCTAACTTTACATACAAAGTTGGTCCAACCTAGTAGTCACTCCATTTTATTTTTCCCATTCTCAGTTTCAGCTGGTTCCTTACTGGGATCACCTCCATTAGCACTCCCACTTTCAGTTCTAGTTGGTACTTCATTGGGATCACTAGTATCATTGTTGGCTATCTCCTGACCTTGCAAACTAATCAACTTTTCTTGAACCTGGACGCCCGGAGCATTAGCATGAACAGGATCTCGATCCTCTTTTTTGTGCTCTTTTGATTCACTGACCTTTATCAACGAGTTGACTGATGGAGGTGTTTGATCTTGTTGAACTTCTTGGTTCGTATTTACTTTAAGCTCAGCAACTGGAGTAGACGTTGGGGCAGTGGGTACAGCTAAAGCATTTGGTTTGGATGAATTACCAATTGGCTTAGGTTGAACTGTGGGTGAAGCGGGTTTCAAAGAGTGGCTCAACCCCTGCTGAGTTCCAGGTCGTGAGGCATGTGATGGGCCAGCAGAGTGCACGGCCTTTGGTGGGCCAGCGGAATGGGACACCAGACCGGTACGAATAAAATGCACATTACTGGGCAAGCCATTTGTACTACCTAGGACAGATGATTTGACTGCAGAACCTCCTCCAGGTATTTGGAGGGGAGTTTTAGGTTGTGCTAGCTTCACCTGTGAGGCAGAGTTCGAAGAGGTAGCAATGCGGGCCCCTGCAGCTACAGCAGTAACTTTGACCATTGAATCTGAGCTCGTAGTAGGCTTTGGTGCTGGCTTTTGAGGGACTATCCGAGGTTTTGAAGATAACGGGTCTTGTTGATGCTGGGATTGTGCACCACCAGATGCCAAGTCGGCAGTAACAGGAAGAGAAGAGTTACTAGATCCACCACCTGAATTAGGCCCCACTGAAGCAACACAATAACCTGGGTTAGAACGGCAACGTACAAGGATAGACTAAGACATTGAATGAGATATTGCTCCACTTCTCCAAGATTAACATGCACATTTTTTTACAGGTATTTCCATGCAGACATTAATAATTGGCTATAGAACTCAGACCTTCTAAAGATTTTTCAACAGCAGAATCTTATCAACAATTGAACAGTTGAATCATCAATTACCCTCTTTGCAGACAAATTGCATATACCATAAACGACAACATACATATCGATTATCAGGGGTTCCTATCAGCCACGTGATACACCCAATGCAGAGTCCCTAGACAGCAAAACAACAATAACTACCCTCTCCCTATCCCCAACTTTTTCCTTCTCTCCACAGTAGTGAAGGAACAGATATGTTTGTCATAAAGGATTTGAGAGAATTACCACTAGCGCCAATTGGCATATTTAGAGCATGGGACATTGCGTGACGAGCTGCCAACTGAGCCTCTGAAAGCTGTGAGCCATTCCCGACCATGGTTCCCTGTCGCTTCCTAATAATGGCCCATCTCTGCAAAAAGAAACATTCACAATCTCATAGTTAAAAATAAAAGGAAAAATGACAGTTGATAACAGACACCAAATATTTACAACTTCTCTTATTTATTTTTAGCATCTAGTCCATGTTAGAACCAATACACACTTTTGCATCTCATTCCGTTGCCGGGATTTGAACCCGGGAAACCTGGGAAAACCCAGACATTCTAACCATACTAGATAACAACGGACATCCATTATATCTTTCCAAATATCGATTTGACATGAATATCACTGGGAGGATTCTCTTAAAGATAAGTAAAATGTTGGGTGGAAGATACAGAGAAAAAAAAATTCAATGAAGACATACAACACTTAGATATGGCTACAGAATAATTTAGTCTATTTACATCAATGTCACCAAAATCGTCAATAAGTGATTGCGTACCAAATCTTGTTAACACTTTGGAAGGATGGAGCTTGCAACCTAAAGGTCTCACCAGTTCTGTCAATGGTGAAAACTGCAAAATGCTCCAATTTCCATCGAGGCTTTAAGTGTAAAACGCATTTAAGCACACATTTAGATAATAACTCCGCAGATGAAGAGAAACTTATACATAGAATGCGAGGAAAAACAATTTCTTTTGAAAGAGAATGCAAGAAAAAGTAATACACACACCAAAAACAGTTATTATATATAAAGGCATTGAAAAACTACAATTATTATAGATTTTTTTTCCGCAAAAAGTAAACTACAATTAAGTGAAATAAGCAAAATAAGTCCTGTCAATTAAGTGGAGAAACACACTAAATTTATATTCAGATGCAGTTTTAACCTTTTAGATTTGATGAATAGCTTTCTTATACTAGATTTCTACTTTTCTAATCCTAATAAGTAATAATATCATTTTCTTTTAGTGGGTCTTTTAAAAATTAAAGGGTTCATTTTTGTTGAGATGCTTTTTTTCCCCATGCTTAGGGGCAAGATTTGCCTACATGAGGCAAAGCACAGACTCAGTCTGCACCTATTTGTAGGGCTGAAGTGTGTCTCAAGTGCCCTTTTTAACAACACTCAAGTCTCAAGCCTTCATTTGGTGGACCCGAAGCCTCACTAATAAACCTACTATGCCACTAGAGTTGGTCGAAGTATCATATGTTTATATGTAAGCAATAACTAGCTACTTAAATTATTTGTACTTTCATTTGAATAAGATAATAATAAGTTGTTCTAGTGATACGAAAAGTTTAAGACAAGCCCCCATGCACACATAAAATACAAAGGTGTAACATCCCATACTTTGCATCTCTGATTCCTCATTTAAATGCTCAACTACTATCTCATCCTAAACTGTAGCCTACATAATTTTGAACCCTAACTATACCCCACATTGATCACTGTATCTATAGAAGATTCATTCAGCGCCATCGAACAAAACTGACTTGTGTGTCTTTGGTTATAGAAACTTTTTGCTGCATCCATGAAATTCTTGTTGGTCTAGATGCCTGGTGTTACTTATAGAGAACCATAATGCAAGATTTTTACTATTCGTGTAACTACAGGGTCTATTGATTTAGAGTTTAGTCATTTAAGATTATAATACAGGGATTGTTTATGCAATTAGTACTTTTAGTAAGGTTTATTTACATGAATAATAAAGTATTGGTTGTTATGTGGTGAATAACAAACGCATGGATTGATAAAAGGGAAATTATCGACTTTAAGGGCATTCTTTTATTTAGGTACTCTTATCAATGTATTGCTAAGATATGTATTCTTATTCCATATTCTATCATGCATAAAATAACACACATCTTCCCGTACAAGTTTTTTTGTAAAGGTAATTTGTATTCCTATACAAGTTATATAAGCATTGGCAATACAACATTTGGTTTTCAGAGTTTAAATTTGGCATAACTTGCGTGAAGTTTTCTACCAAACATTATATTAGTTATACGAGAATATATTAGTAATGCTGAATTTTATACCGCCAACTAGTTGCTGTAAAGGGAATATACCCAAATTCAAACAAGGATTAATCATCCCTATCTCTCAACCAAAACAGCCCCTAATTGTATACTAGGAAGTGTCCTATTGGTCAAAAAAAATCATTACCTTATCAGAATAAAAGGTAAATCTTAGATGAAAGTGGGAAAACAAGCAAAAATATGATTAATAGCAGACCACAGTAGGGAAAGAGAATTACAGACCTTTTTTTTAAGAAAAAGGAGTTGAAATGAAGGATAATCTCTTTTAGCTAAAATTTGAGTATCTCTCTGCTCGACTGCATTGAAGTTTTGTCTTTCTATCCCTTAAATATACGGTAAGGTCAACGTACATCCCACCCTCCCCATACCCCACTTGTGGGAATATACTGGCTATGATGTTGACTTCGTAGTTTTGATTTGAAATGAAGTTGTGCTCGGATAACACTTTTTACAAAAATATTTGGAATAAATTTAATGCTTGGAGTAATTTCAATATATATAACTGATACCCCACATTTTCTAGTAACTATCAAAAGTTCCCAAACTTTATCACACTTTGTTACCGAACAACCGACTTTGACAATTTAAAACGACGGTGCTTTTATTATGCCTTAAAATATATTCCTAGTTAATGTTACAATCCTT